GCCCCTTCACTGAATAGAGCGTCTGTAACCATACTCATGGTCAGTTTTCCTTCAGGTGCAGAGCTGTTGAAGAACACCATCAACGTCTCCCAACTGTCTAGCAAAGAACTGAGCAGCAATAGGGCCTGCATCTTATCATCTAACTTCATTCTAACAGTTGCCAATTACTTCACCAGATTTTGAAACTCCCTGGTGTGTTCAGCAACAGACATGTCGCCTTTCAACTTCAAATTTACAAGTCTTCTCATTAGGAGGGCTTTGTTCCGAGCAGTCTTCGACTGGTACAGACCTTCTGAATTCGTCTAGAGAGCATAGGCATTAGTCTCTTAGGCGACATGGTGGAACGCACTGTGATCAATCCATTGTCTGATCTGGCCAATGGTTTTCTGATTCTTCCGCTTCCACTCTTCGTCGTTTTCTATTGCTAGTTTGACTCCATTAAGCTCAATGGGGTCAGACAAATCTCGACAATACAGGACATCCTGTATTCTAGGCTTCCAGATTTCATAGTTGGAAGTAGTCAGCTTGATCATAGATCCCGAAGTCGACATTGATTCCTCTATTAACACGTGTCTCTACAGAAAATGATCTCAGTCTGAAAATCAGGCTTCACTGTTAAGTCTGGATTGGTCAAATTAGTTGGAAAAGCACTTTAGATTGCCAAAATAAAAACTACAAATTTTTTAAATTCAATGTGCAAAATTTGACCGTAGGATGTGTCCGGAATATTCCAAATAGTGGGAAAGCACTATTGGATCATAAATAATGGACTTATAATGACTCAGATCAAGCTAAAATACGTTGAACGGTTTAGATCAGTAGACCTTGGAGCGGCTAAGAAGTACCGAATCATTTCTCATGCTCGGCTGATGTCAGAATGACGTCATCGACTTGACAAATAGCGGCGTGGCTTGGTCAACGACTTAGATGGCGGTTTGGTCAGCAGCTCGGTCAACGCGGCTCGATGAGGGTCGGCGCAGGTCAAATGACGTCATTTTTGGCGACAAGATGTCAATAACCGGTGACGGGATGACGTCAGTGACTGGAAGAAAGAAGACGACGCGTGTTGCGCATGTTCATGGCATCACAAAGCGTGTGGGGCGCGTGGGGACTCGTTCGGCTTCCTTTTCTGACACGGTTTTCACTTTTGTGCTCGTCTTGTCAAGGGCTTTAATCTGGTGTGATCAAAAGTGGATTTCGACCACTTTGATTTCTGGGCAATTCTAAAAAAACACACCTTGTTTTTCAAAAAATCGACCAACACAGCTCTGATACCACTTCATGAGATTATGGACACCTAGGAAATAAACAACAAACAATCACACACACAACCAAGACACAAATATTTATGTGATTCGGCCCAATGCCTACATCCATGGAACAAAAACAAGAAGTTCACTAAGATAGAGCAATACAAAAATAGAGGAGGATAAATGCTCTCACTCAACTCACAGCTCTATATCTCTCAAATTTCTGATGATACAATTCACCCTCTTCCTCCTGTCTCTATTTATACACAAAGTGAGAGAATGAGAGAGAGAGAGAGAGAGAGAGAGAGAGAGCGAGAGAGAGAGCGAGATATATATATATATATACAAACCCACTAAAATTTCTACCTTCTTTTGGTGAGAGTCAACGATGGCAAGAACGTAAAGAGAAGGGAGAGATGCCCAGCTCAGATTTCCTTTTCTTGTGGTAGAAGTCCTCGTATTGTGGTAGAAGTCCTCGTACGCCATCATCTGCATGCATGTGGGTTAGAGATAACATATATTTGGGCCTCTATCACACTATAGGCCTGTGTGGTAGAGCTTAATTTTAGCTTAACTCAGCTTTTAGATTATTTTAAGCTATTTTGATGTATTTGGTAAAACTTAAAATCACTTTTTGTAGCTTAAATTAAGCTAAAAAAGTGATTTTTGGCTGAGTAGCCTTCGGGGTGCTTTTGGATTGAGCTTAAGCGAGAAGCTGAAAATTAAGGGGCAAAATTACTTAAATGCCCCTAGTCAATCTCAACCATTACCAAAAACCCAACTATATAAATCTCATATTCTCAAACACTGTTCACATGAGAGAGAAAGGAAAGGCGATTTTCGGTGAGGAGGCGATTTTCGGCAAACAAACCAGAGCTCTCTCTCTTACGAACTAGAGGCGGTGGCGAGGGCTCGATCTGCTCCGTTTCCGCCTCCCGTCACCACAGCCATCGACGGCATGGTCGCGATTTGAAAACCTAACCATCGACAGCCTGATCGCGATCTAAAAACCGAACCATCGACATCGTAATTGCGATCTGAAAACCTAACCTTCCGTGATCTTGTCGGCTTTGCGAGATAGCCTAAAGGTGATGAACCGAAGCACTCTCTCTCTCTCTCTCTTTCTTCGCGACCTGATTGGACAACCAGGCTAGGGTTCTGGTCGCAATCTAGTTGAACCAGAGCTCTCTCTCTCTCTTGCACATCTTCGGCGTTGTTTCAACAACGGCTAGGTCATCGATGGCGACGGTGAGCCATCTCCGGCCTGTACCCAACATTAATACAAAAATATATATATATATAATAGCAATTTTTATATTAAATCACACTAAAATAATTTTTATATTAAATAACAAATAATATGTAATGAAATATATATTAATTGGTATTAATTTTAATGAATTAATAAATTAAACAAAATTAACAAAGAAAGAAGAGAAGAAAAAAAAATGAATTGGTATATTTTGTGAAATAATAAATTGGTATATTTTGTTACAATTTTTAATAAATTAAAAAAATATCAATTAATATTTCAGTGTTTTTTTTTTTTAATTTCTGGAGGTTTTCAAGGTTTTTTTAATAAATAATAATAATAATTAAGCATTTTAGCCATTAATGAAATAAATTTTATGTTAATTGATACTAATTAATAATTTTAGTATAATTGATGCTAATTAAGCCATTAATTGACACTAAATAATTTATAATGAAAAAATGAAAAAAAAAATTACACTAATTGATACTATTAATGAAAATAATAATTTTTGTAATACTAATTATATTAACTTTTATTAATGAAATAATTTTTTTTAAATTAAAACTGAAAAAAATGACAAAATAATCATTTTTATATTATATAAGGGCAAAAATGACAGTTACACAGTAAAAAGTTATTTTACAGTTTATCAATTATACACTACTTTACTGCTTAAATCCATAATCTCACAGTTTTACCGAACAGGTTAACAGCTTATGTTCACAGTTATGGGTTAAAATCTGTTAAGTTATAATTTATAATCACTTTTCCACAGTTCTACTAAACGGCCTATATCTAGACGTTCTTAGCGGGTTCCTTTCCATTTTGAGGGTTCTCAGACAGAATGACGGTTAGTTGTACAGTGCACTCACTCCCAACGAAGGTATTGCATGAAACAAGCAGTCTGTTGTTTGTTTACTTACCTTATCCTAACTGACTGCAAAGACTGATGTGCGTATAGTATATGATTAATACAAAGATGCTATTTTTGGCATTGTTAATGTCTATATTGCTACTGATTAGGCTGTTGCAAACTATGGGCCTCAGATAAACTTGAATCAAGTGTATAGCCTTATTCAAAAATAAAATCTCTTTTGGCTAAAAAATTCTGGTTGTGTTTCTTGTTTTTCTAGTGTTTGAATTTTCTTTCATTTATCATAATGTATCTTGAATTCCATTACATGTTAAGCTTTGGTACTATTTAAGCAGCTCAAGACTTGCAACTGTTGGGCATGTAGGTGAGTTTTAATCTTTGGATGGAGTGAAAATAGAAATGAAATAAAAGTTTTTTTCCCCCTCTTTACTAATTGATTTATATTTTTTCATAATTCAAAATCCAAACATGACCATGACCATAGACGGAGTATATTTATTATTTAATCATAACTTGGATGCTCATCGAAATTGGATACCAGCACGTTGCTAAATTTTAATTATTGTACTTGGTCAAACAAGTCTTGATTAGTTCACTCTCCAAAAGCCCAATATTATATAACAAAAGATGAACACCTTGCCTGGAAAGTGGTTATTTTTTTAACTTTTTAGTTATTTAACTATTTTAATAGGCTATTTAGTTTTTGGTGTTTGGCAAGTTTATTTGAATTTTTTTGGTTGATTGTTATATTAAAAAATGTATTTAAAATGATATTTTGAGGCTAAAATAAAATGATAAATTTGCCCCTCACTTAAGATATTTATGTTTTTTCAAAATTGGTGTAAAGAGACAAAATTGTCATTTATTACCTGTGGTGGCAGGCTGTCAACTCATTGACAGTGGCTTAGACTATTGTTTGAAGCCTTAGAATACTATTTGAGGTTTTTAGTTTTTTTGGTATTTGAGGCTATTTAAACTCTAAACCTGGGTTCCCAAACGACGCCTAAATATTCATAAACATATGGAGCCAATCTGAAAGACATTTTAATAACAAATAATGAGTGCCAAAACCAGTTGAGAAATTAAAATGGGTTCCAAAGCAATTCCCACCTAGGTTTGTAAACAAGTTGAGTTAAGTTGAACATTAAGTTGTTTCAAACCAATCACAAACCAAGTTTAATAATGAGACTAATATGTAAACTTTAACAATTTTTAAAATATGTTCTAATTTAACTTATTTACATAATGAGCATATCTTAAACAAATTTTTAACAAGCCAAGTACAAATCAAGCACAAATAGTTTGGACATGGATATATAATTGGTTTGACTTGTAAAAAGAAACACACACTCACCATTTGTGAAGTAAATGCACAAAACAATCCATTCTAGATCACTATGCATCACTAGAACACAATTAATCACTTGATAAAAAAAATATTGTATTCACACTTCAACCTTAAAAATAAAAATAAAAAACAAAAACAAAAACTAAAACTAAAACTAAAACTAAAACTAAAACAAAAAAACTCACCATCATGGCATAAAAATTAACAATTTGCAAAATAACCCAATTGGAGAGAGTAGTAGTTAGTTATATAGAACAAAACTCGGAATATTTATCATCTTGGATCAACAAGCTCATCATAATCCTCAATATCCCAACTGAGATCTTCCTCTTCATAGCCTCTTCTAGAATCAATGCTATCAATAACTTCGATCTTATCCCACCCAAAATCTTCTTCTTCCTCAGGTACTAATGATGGTTGGCTTGAGACATCGGAAAAGTCACTATCTTTACACGATCCGCCACTTTCTGTCTTTCTTTCCGAATCCAATTCATCAGATCTTGCCTCCGACATGCTGCCACTTGATTCAGACCCATCATCCAAATGCACTCTCTCATTAACCCCATTGTCACTTTTGGATTCAGAAACAACCCCCTTATCTTCTTCTTATTTCAGACTCTTTTCTTCACTTTCAAAGGTAGACCTCTTGACAACAATCTTTTCTGAAGAATATTTCTCACCCGCCTTTTGTTTTGAATTATTCATTAACTTAGACCCATCAATCTCTTCATAATCATCGTCATCAACATCCGAACTAAATTCATCCTCTTCTTCCTCATTCTCCTCCTCTACCGAAATTGACCTCTTATTAACAAGCCTAGCTCTTGCCTCCTCTGCTTTCTTAATCTTACAAACCCAATAAAAATATCGACACCAAAAGGTCTCTCGATTAACCCTACTGGGAACAACCTCATTATAAATCTCTTTAATCATCCCATTCTCTTCAATCAAATCATCAATCTCCCATTCCTTCTCATCCAAATTAAACCCTAAATCCCACTTATAGTACTCCTCTAAATTCTCCGGTTCCTCGCAATACATATTCAAATCACATTGAATTTTGCAAATTTGCACATCAAACCTACTATACGGTCTCAAATTCTTTAGATTCTCAAATTCTTCAGAATCACCAGCAAGAAGAACAGAGTCCTTCTTACTGTAGACGCGCCCTTGGGCTTCATGCTACAGTTCGGACTCAAATTGTCACGGTTCTTAATCTGAACCAAAGAGTCTAAATCCGGCAAATCGTTTTAAGAAAACAGATTTTTTTGAAAGAAGTGCCAGACATGGACTACTTTGTCAGATACAAAGTCGCCACCTAAATATTTTTATGGGGGAATTTAGGAAACCCTGACTTGTTTGCCTAAGGCCACGTGTCCGTCATCACCAAAGTTGCCTCGGCTCGGGAACTTGGGTACGATTGGGGAAGGTCAGCTATGAGCACCCCCTCTCGCCCGATCCGAAGATCGGCCTTTACTAATCATGATATCTCGTTTTTTAAAACACATGCGTTCTTATTCCAATTAATTAGCTAGAATTACTATGTGATGCGCACAGCAAAACAAGTATAGACTAGATCGCCTAATTTGGAACAAAGCATTGCATATCCGTTTGTTTGGAAATGTTTGAAGTTTGCTACTTGCAAGTAGGCTAAAATGCGGATTTCAATGAATTATCCCAATTCAAGTAATCCAACCTTCACCCACAGGCATTCAAGCAGTTTATCACATAAGCATATAGCCACATGGTAAGCATGCTGTCATGTTAACATTCACACTCATGCGAGATGCTAAAGCATAAATACTTACATCGTACTCCGCGCCAAAACAGAGAACTTGTTAGCAATCATGTATGATCCAAGTCCATGTTAAATGCCTAATGCATCGCATACAAAATGCAATCTAGAATAGGCTCAGCTAATCCTAGGATGGCATGTGAAATGTGACAAGTAGCACGTATTCAAGTTAGATTTGGAATACTATGCAGTTAGCATGATGCGGCGAGCCCGGTGCATGCAATACAGATGAATGAATGCACGCATGCATAGCATAATGTATGCTAATTGAAATATGCCCTAAATCTAACCATCGTAAGCAGTTAAATAAAAGGGAGAAAGAAATGGGATTGGAAGACATGTACTCACGCACGCACACTTATTACACAATTGGCCCTCTCTCGGAGGGTCTGAATAAATAATACAAGCCACCTAATTAACTAACTCACGAGCTAATTAATTATTACAAAACCAAATGAATAACTAGCAACAACTAATTATTACACAACTTAATTAATTAACAAATTAAATAAACTACAAATGAATAACAACAAACAAATAGGAAAAGCAGTAAACGACGTCGTTCCAGCTCTATTTGAAGAAGGAAGGTATGCACGCTCGCTTCGGCTCCTTGCCTCGAAACGCCTTCCGGTTGCTCTTTAGAGGCTCTATTTGCAGGGTGTCTTCTAGTTCTGGTTGCTGAATCTTACCAAAGCACTGCTGGAGAGTTCACCAGTGGCCTGCTGGCCATGGAAGGAGCACTGCCGGCCAACAACAGGGCACTGCCGGCCATCAGTGGTGCACTGCCAGCCACTGGTGTGCTGTGACACCAAACTGTAACGAAGCACAAAATAGAGAAAATTGTGGGTCTCCCAAGGACATGTACGCACTATGCCACCCCCTATCACCTCAAAACATCAAGGGAAAGGCCTAATCGGATCCACGACCATCAATCACGCATCCCGATGCATGATGGCCAAAGATCCAACTTGTGAAAATCAATATGAAAATGAATGCACAAATAAAGCAAGTAAAGCCTAGAACTCTATCATGAATCATCAAGAGCTTCGGCGATCGAGAATTGAGACACGTTCCATCACTCAGAGTATGAAACGTCCCTCGTTCCTCGTGCTTGGATTAACACTTAATCCAAACAATGCAATACATAAGCATGGCAAACATGCAATATGACCTAAGTGTGCAAACATGCAACTAACTCAAGCATGCAACAAGCATATAAGCATGATGTGAGGTGACGACCTTGGACAACATGACAAAATACAATATGAACATGTGAACATGCAAGGCATGTAAAGCTAAACGAGTATGTGACAACATACGAAATGAAACAAGCATGCGACAACATGGTAAGATGGACTTACACCAAAGATGGAAAGCTCTCAACTAGGTCCAAATCAGTAGCCAAAAGTGATGAATTGATGGCATGAAAAGCATAAAATGACAAGACAAACATGCATGCCAAATGGCTCAAGTATTAAGGCATAAAGAGGACAACTCTTAAGCACACTTAAGGAGCAACAAACATGGATGTGTGACAATGAGGTAAGCTCTGAAATCTCATGTAAAGTGATGCCAAATCAACTCAACAATGCAAGCATAGCATGTTATGATGCTCAAAGCTCAAAGTAAGCAAATAGACTTAAGCCATGGCCATACAAGGCAAGCCCCAAAGAGCTAAGGGGACCTAAAACAGTCCTAGGGCAGGTCCAAACAAGACCAAAATCAAGCTCAAAGCTAGCCAACAAAGGCTAGAACACGAAGGCAAAAACATAGAGCATGTAAGGCTTTAAAGAGGCAATGCACTACACCTATTGGAACCAATCATGGAAAGACTTGGAAAACATAAAAAAGAGTTGCATCATGGTATATTGAGATCAAAAATGCGCTGAAATGATGAGCCAAAGGCTTAGGCTTGATGGCATGCACAAAAACCCATTCTTGAGGTATAAAGCACAAGCTATTAAAGGCATTCAAAGCATGTCAAATGCAAGTGAACAACAACATTTCATGGACTGAAATAGCATGTGAAATGAGGGCAAAGCATGCAAACATCACATGTATGGCATGGTAGGGGCCTCAAAACCCAAGACTAGCCTAAGCATTTACACTATAGATATACAAAGCATGAGTGATATGGCCATGGCAACCTAAAAAAGTCCTAGAACACTCCAAAATAAGCATAAAATCATGTTAGAGCAAAGCCAAAATATGCTAGTATGATGAGTCAAAACATCATGCACAAATGGCTAGTAAACAAGATTTGTTCTACACCTATATGGAGCATGCAAAGGATGATCAAACCAACTATGAATAGGGTCATAACATGCCAAATGATGACCAAATACAAGCTGAAATGTAAATCAAACAAGCTAACATGACATGGCAAAGCATGGAGCATATGAAACTACTTTAGGGGATTTACATTACAAGTGCATCATTCAAGCATGGAGTAACAAAACCAACCCAAAACAAGTTCATGGCATGGCAAAACATCACCAAAAATGGACTGAAATGGACTCAACAAAAGCCATGCACACATGCTACTTTGATGAGCTATGGATGGAGTTACATTACACATACTAGATACATGCAAGATATGACCAAACCAGCCTTGGACAGGGCCAAGGTAGGTCCTAGAGGTCACAAAAATAGGCCTGAACCAAGCCTCAAAAATGCATAGAGGGATGGTCCTTTGGAAGGCCAAAAATGCAAGCAAAGATGAACCAAAAGAGAGGGGGTTACCCCCTCTGATTAAGGACCTCAAAACTACACCTCTACCACTGAAATCCCACTGGATTTCAGTGGTAGGAAGGCCAAACCAAGGCTAGCTCGGAGGCTCAAAGGTATGGCTTAAAACAAAGCCAAACAAAGCAAGAGAGGGGGTTACACACCCCTAACAGCAAAGTGACCTTAACCAAACTTAAAAAGCACTCAAATATAAGACTTTTTTCAGTTATAAGCAAAGCCTAAATCAATATGCAAAGAGGGCTAAAGCAAGGTACAAGAAATAGAAAAAATGGGAAAAATACTCACCCTTGAAGACCCTCTTCGAAACCAGCAACTTCAGGGGGTGGAAACCAGTTTTCAGAGCTTAAGAATCCCTCCCAAGAAGCTTAGTCCAATGGTGGTGGTGTATTTATAAGGGTTGTAGTGTAAAAGTGCAAGGAAATCCAACTTCAAAGCACAAAACACACACACTATAGAGAGAAAGAGAAGTTTTTCTCTTCAAAGTTGCAGAACCCCTGGCTAAGGAAGAGGCTTCTTCCTTATATAGAGCAATGAAAAGCCAAAGCTTCTTCAAGAAGCTTTTCAAGGCTTCCATCCCTCCATACACGTGTATGGAGGGGAGCAAACAAAAATCCAGCTGGCTCAAAAGATCTGGAGGAAAACCAGCTGAGATAGGGGGTGCCGGCCATCAGCAATGGCCGGCAATGGCTCACTGATGGCCGGCAGGGCATCACCAATGATCGACAGGAACCAAGACATGGCCGGTAGTGCACCAAAAGGTCCACTCTGATAGGACCTAGTCAAGGTCCAAAAAAGGACAGAAAGGATACAGGGTCCGAGAAGCTCGAACCGGTGATGTTCCGCCGCGACAGTCGAGTACTCAGTGAGCAATCGAACTAGTTGTTGGGTGTACCTGCAAGCACAACCAAGTCTCGAGGACGGTCAAAAATGGGGTGTCTACATTTACCGTGATACAATCTCAGAGACTCTGTTCCCAAAATTAAGGGCGAATTCCTGAATTAGGGCGGTCTCGTTCTTCAGTCTGGAGGCAAATTGCTTGAGATAACGACAGTAGATCTCGATCAGAGACTTGGATTTGGAAGCTAGAGTTTTGATGAGGCGGTCACCAAAGGACCACACATTGGTGATTGATGAAATTGAGGGGTCGTTTGATCGGGAATTGGGTGGTGGGGAGGAAGAAGAGGTGTGTGGGTCGTCTGAGGAGAGAGAATTGAAGAAATTCATGGAGAGAGAGAGAGAGTAGGGTTTGAATTTGAAGCAATGAGAAATTAACTAGGGTTTAAAGACAAGTGAGAAGAAGAAGAAGAAGAAGAAGAAGAAGAAGAAGAAGAGAGTGAGTGTTTTCGAATTTGTATGTTTGTGTGAGTGGGATGTATATATATACGTTGATATTCAGCTCAAGTAGGACTTGAAAGCGTTGACGTGCGGGACTCTGTCAGAGAACTAGTTAAGGTCGTTTTAGGTTTGGATTCGAACAAATTTTATGTTTCACTTATGT